TTGACTTTCTTTTCTTTTGTAGTTGTTATTCAATCGTCTGGTGGACTTTCTAAGGATCAAATAGAGAATATGGTCCGTGATGCTGAAAAACATGCTGCTGAGGATGCTGAGAAGAAGGAAGTTATTGAAGCTATTAACCATGCTGAATCTGTTTTGCATGACACGGAAACAAAAATGGCTGAATATGCGGATCAGTTGAATGAGGATGAGGTTTTTACATGTTTTGGCATTTTTTTACTTTTTTTTAAAGGTCAAAGTTGTTAAAGAACGTTGCGAGAACCTTAAGCAGAAGTTGACGAATCGGGAAGCTCTCAAAGCTTCTGAAGTTCGCGAAGGGATTAATGAATTACAACAGAAGTCATTGAAGCTTTTTGAAGCTGCATATCGTAAAATGGCTGAGAAAAACCAACAACAACATCAAACTTCTGATTCTTCTGCAAAACAAGATGAGGGAGAAGAGGCTGCTAAAAAAGAAGGGAGTCAATAAAAAATTCTTTTTTATGTTGTCGTAGTCGTTATTTTTTTGTTTTTTGACATTTTATTTAATCATACACACATTTTATTGTTTGGCCATTTTCAATAAATTGACTTGATGAGTTGTTTAATTTTTGGTTTTTTTGTATTTGTTTATTCAGTTAATATTTTAATGATTTCTGAAGGTAATCGAAGTCTAAACTTTTTAGCTTTTATAACTCAATTCAGAAGACTTGAAAAATGCTTATTCGTAGCCATTTTACTCATGATGATAATGCGATGGTTAATATGGTCAATTCTCTTCCTCCCGAAGCATATTTTTTGGAATGCGATGGAAGTGTACATGAGGAACTTGGAACAATTCAAAAAGGGAAACTGATACAATTGCATTTTCGACTGTGCGGCGGGAAAGGAGGTTTATTTTTATTTTAGGCTATGTTTTGGTGTGGTGGGTGTTGGGGACTGCCCTTATATGCTGCTTTTAAGCACGATTATGCTACCCTGCCCTTCGATACTACGCGTAAGTATCAACGGATCCTTTAAGTTTGATCTTTTACTGACATAAGGCCGATGTTTCTTTACTATTCTAGCTGATGAAACAATGAAAATCTACCTTTCAAGTGCGTAACCAGGGGGGTTTTGATAACTGATTCGGGTGCTCTTTTGATAACTGATGCGGTTGCTCTTACATGAGGAACTTGGACCATGGGTTTCGTTAACCGAATCAGTTAACGACCAGGGGTTTTGTTAACTGATTCGGGTGCTCTTTTGATAACTGATTCGGGTGCTCTTAGGGTCAATCTACATCACATATAAAAATCTGAATATAAACCTTCTATTTATAGGTTTTGGTTCATTACTCCGAAGTTTTCGCATCCACAAATCAAACAATCAGTTAATGTGTCGAAATTTGGCTGGTCGTCGTCTTGCTGATGTTAGAGAAGAAGAACGTCTCAAAAAATATATTGAAAAGAAGGAGCAACGTGAAAAAGAGAAGAAAAAGAAAGAGTTTGTTTAATTTTTTTTAATAAGAACATTTTGACTTTTTGTTTTTTAGGGAAGAAAAAATAGACAAATTAAAAAATGGAGCAAAAACAAAACATGAATTTACTGATCAGGAATATTTGAGAAAAAGGGACACAGTTCTTGATGTGGTTGAGGATGCAGTTGAGGCAGGTTTGTAAAATTTATTTTTATTGTTCCGGGATGAGTTCGGATGTTATTGTTTTTTTTTGGCTTGGTTTGGATTCTGAGAATAACAACCTTTAGGTTTCTAGATAGGAGGTCCTTATCTTAAAATAAGTTGGCCCTTTTTCAAATTTAGAGGTCCAGGTACTCCTATAAGGCCGGTGAAGTTTTCCCCATCCGAAACTACAAGTGATTCCGTGATGGGGTGACTTGTAGCTTCTTTGTGTAAGGATGAGTAAGAAGGATCTAATAATTAATCTCTTTTCCGATTCCTAGGATAAGTTTGTCTGATTTTCTGTTATTAATAAAGCGATGAGACTTAATGTCCATATTCTACCACACATTTCCTACAAATTAATTTTTAAGTTTTCAATTTAAACACGAAATTTAAGGTGTTTTGGCACTTCAAGAAAAACAAAAGGCTGCTGCTGAAGTTGAAAACAATGACGTTACTACACAAGAAGAATTAACTGGGCCTTCAACATCTTCAAATATACAAAAAGCATCTACATCCTCAAATGTTAATGATGAACAAAATTCTGATTCCGATGAAAGTTTGGATGATTTGATGAGTTGTGGTCCATTAAAAAAGAAGGTCAAAATTGGGGGATGACTTTAAGGTGATCTTAAGGGGTTTTGAAGATATTTCTCGCGGGAAAACTTTTAATTTCTAAACGAGCAGGAATTCAAAGGTTTTTTTTTATTTTAGTTAATTTTGAGAAATTTTATTTATCTTCTTTTCGGTTCTTGCGCTTTTTTAAATTTTTTTTTGAATTTAAATAAACTTCTTTTAAATTTTTTTCTTTTTTTCAATTTAAACGTAATGTGTCGTTTAATTTTTTCTATTATTTTTTGAATCAGTTAAGATTTTAGAAAAGAAAATGGCTTCTGTTAATGAAATTACTTCAGAACTTGATGCACAAGTTTGTATTTGTTCTTAAATTTTTTATAATTTTACCTAGATTCCTCTGGCCTTGCGTGCACTTCAAGAATATGATGGGCATAAACAGGAGAAGAAATTGCCTCTGTTCCCCGATACGAAAAAGATGGTTTATTTGACTGTTAAATATAAGCGGCCGTTCTTCAAAAAGAGTGGGAATCAATGCGTTTTTGTGTATATTTTTTTTATTTTTTGGAATTTTTAAATTTTTCCGTTTTTTCAGTACGCAGCCTTATCCAGACAGAAATCCTTCAAATTCTTCTGTTTGTCTAATTCTACCAGATCTTGATCGTTCCAAAAAGGCACAAACAGATCCTGATGTTGATAAACAAGCGAGAGAATGGGAGGAACGTTTACGTGAAAATTATGGACTTATTTCTGGAGTTAATTATACAAAGGTTTCTTTAATCCTTATTTTTGACATAACATTTTTGATTGAAACTCGATTTTAAGAGGTTTTAACTTTAAAAATTTTTTTGATATGTGGGCAGCGAACCTCGTTTAAATGGAAGCGTGCCTAATTCTTAAGTTATTTATAAATCAGATTCGATACTAAAATTCTATCATTTTTCATATTTTTTTTTATTTTTTCAGATTTTGACTTTTATACAATTAACTCGTGAATATACTGAAGTCACGGATCGTGTTAAACTTGCAAATCTTTATGATATGTTTTTTGTGGATTATAAATTGGCTAAAAAAGTGGATTATTTTATGGGAAAATTGTTTAAAAGACCTGCACGGTAAATTTTAAAATTTTTATTTTGGACAAAGATACCTTCCATTTAACCAAAAAATTTTCTAGAATTTATTTTACGGCTTAAAATAATTTTTTTTAATTTTTTAGTCGTCCAATTCTAATCAAATCTGAACAAAATTTTTCTAAAAGAATTGAAGAAGCTTATAATCAAACTTTAATATTTTTTATGCCAATGAATGATGCAATTACTATTCGGTTTGGGATTTTTTTAATTTTTAATGTTCTTTGAAATTTTTTTGAGATTTTTTAAGAAATTTTTTTTTTAAAATTGGAAAAATTTTTTTGGAAGTTTTCTAAACAATTTTTCAATTTTTTTAAATTTCTTTTACTTTTCTTTCTTCAAAAAAATTTTTTAAAATTAATAAAATTTTTCAGTGTTGGCAATTTAAATCAAAAAATTAAACATCTCAAATCAAATGTTTCAGCTATTATTTCTTCACTTTTACAAGACTTTCCTGGTGGTCTAATAAATATAAGATCGGTTTATTTAGCGGCTGTGAATGTTTCTTTGCCTGTTTATGTTGATTTTGGTTTAATTTTTTTTAATTTTTTGGATAGAAATTTTTTCAAAAAAATTCTTTTTTAGGTTCTTCTAACGAAATAAACTTTGAATTGCCTCCAGAGCCCGAACTTGTTGAAATTGTTGGAGAATGTTCTACACTTCCAGAAGGATTAGAAGTTAAAGTAAGGGCTGATGGATTGGTTACAACAGTGGAAAAGAAGAGTATTTTTTTATAATTTTAAAGAAAAGGGTCCAAAAAAATTTTTTTTGAAGGTGGTGAAGAAGTTTTGTATCCAACAGAACAGGATGAATGGGAAAAGGAAGATGATATGAAGCCGTTAAATGCTGAATTGATTCAGAAAATATTGAGAAAAGGAAAGGTTCAAACAAAAATGGAAAAAATAAAGGAAGAATTGAGAAAGATGGTAAAAGGGGAAGTAAAGGAAGAGGAGGAAGAAAAAAGAGTAGAAGAAGTGAAGGGGGTGGTTGAAGAAGAAAATGAGGTGGTTGAAGAAGGAGCCCCAAACATGTTACCAAACAAAAAGAAGAATAAAAAAAGGAAAGTAAAGAATGAAGAAGAGGAAGAAAAAATAGAAGAAGAGAAGGAGGAGGGTGAAGAAGTGGAAGAAGAACCCAAAAAAGAAGAAGTTGTTCCAAACAAGGCTCCAAAAAAATTAAAGAATAAAAAAAGAAAATTAAAGGAAGAGGAAGAAGAGGTGGAGGAGGAAGAAAAAAGAGAAGATGAAGAGGAAAATGAGGAGAGTGAAGAGGAAACCGAAGAAGAAGTTGTTCTGAACAAGTCACCGACCAAAAATAAGAATAAGAAAAGAAATGGAGCAATTAAAAGAAAAATTGAAAATTCAAGTATTGAGATGATTAAAGGAAGGAAAACTAAAAAAGCCAAAAAAAATTTTGAAGGATTTTTATAAAAGCTTTTTTATAAAAGGATTTTTTTATAAAAGGATTTTTATAACACACATTTTATTGTTTGGCCATTTTCAATAAATTGACTTGATGAGTTGTTTAATTTTTGGTTTTTTTGTATTTGTTTATTCAGTTAATATTTTAATGATTTCTGAAGGTAATCGAAGTCTAAACTTTTTAGCTTTTATAACTCAATTCAGAAGACTTGAAAAATGCTTATTCGTAGCCATTTTACTCATGATGATAATGCGATGGTTAATATGGTCAATTCTCTTCCTCCCGAAGCATATTTTTTGGAATGCGATGGAAGTGTACATGAGGAACTTGGAACAATTCAAAAAGGGAAACTGATACAATTGCATTTTCGACTGTGCGGCGGGAAAGGAGGTTTATTTTTATTTTAGGCTATGTTTTGGTGTGGTGGGTGTTGGGGACTGCCCTTATATGCTGCTTTTAAGCACGATTATGCTACCCTGCCCTTCGATACTACGCGTAAGTATCAACGGATCCTTTAAGTTTGATCTTTTACTGACATAAGGCCGATGTTTCTTTACTATTCTAGCTGATGAAACAATGAAAATCTACCTTTCAAGTGCGTAACCAGGGGGGTTTTGATAACTGATTCGGGTGCTCTTTTGATAACTGATGCGGTTGCTCTTACATGAGGAACTTGGACCATGGGTTTCGTTAACCGAATCAGTTAACGACCAGGGGTTTTGTTAACTGATTCGGGTGCTCTTTTGATAACTGATTCGGGTGCTCTTAGGGTCAATCTACATCACATATAAAAATCTGAATATAAACCTTCTATTTATAGGTTTTGGTTCATTACTCCGAAGTTTTCGCATCCACAAATCAAACAATCAGTTAATGTGTCGAAATTTGGCTGGTCGTCGTCTTGCTGATGTTAGAGAAGAAGAACGTCTCAAAAAATATATTGAAAAGAAGGAGCAACGTGAAAAAGAGAAGAAAAAGAAAGAGTTTGTTTAATTTTTTTTAATAAGAACATTTTGACTTTTTGTTTTTTAGGGAAGAAAAAATAGACAAATTAAAAAATGGAGCAAAAACAAAACATGAATTTACTGATCAGGAATATTTGAGAAAAAGGGACACAGTTCTTGATGTGGTTGAGGATGCAGTTGAGGCAGGTTTGTAAAATTTATTTTTATTGTTCCGGGATGAGTTCGGATGTTATTGTTTTTTTTTGGCTTGGTTTGGATTCTGAGAATAACAACCTTTAGGTTTCTAGATAGGAGGTCCTTATCTTAAAATAAGTTGGCCCTTTTTCAAATTTAGAGGTCCAGGTACTCCTATAAGGCCGGTGAAGTTTTCCCCATCCGAAACTACAAGTGATTCCGTGATGGGGTGACTTGTAGCTTCTTTGTGTAAGGATGAGTAAGAAGGATCTAATAATTAATCTCTTTTCCGATTCCTAGGATAAGTTTGTCTGATTTTCTGTTATTAATAAAGCGATGAGACTTAATGTCCATATTCTACCACACATTTCCTACAAATTAATTTTTAAGTTTTCAATTTAAACACGAAATTTAAGGTGTTTTGGCACTTCAAGAAAAACAAAAGGCTGCTGCTGAAGTTGAAAACAATGACGTTACTACACAAGAAGAATTAACTGGGCCTTCAACATCTTCAAATATACAAAAAGCATCTACATCCTCAAATGTTAATGATGAACAAAATTCTGATTCCGATGAAAGTTTGGATGATTTGATGAGTTGTGGTCCATTAAAAAAGAAGGTCAAAATTGGGGGATGACTTTAAGGTGATCTTAAGGGGTTTTGAAGATATTTCTCGCGGGAAAACTTTTAATTTCTAAACGAGCAGGAATTCAAAGGTTTTTTTTTATTTTAGTTAATTTTGAGAAATTTTATTTATCTTCTTTTCGGTTCTTGCGCTTTTTTAAATTTTTTTTTGAATTTAAATAAACTTCTTTTAAATTTTTTTCTTTTTTTCAATTTAAACGTAATGTGTCGTTTAATTTTTTCTATTATTTTTTGAATCAGTTAAGATTTTAGAAAAGAAAATGGCTTCTGTTAATGAAATTACTTCAGAACTTGATGCACAAGTTTGTATTTGTTCTTAAATTTTTTATAATTTTACCTAGATTCCTCTGGCCTTGCGTGCACTTCAAGAATATGATGGGCATAAACAGGAGAAGAAATTGCCTCTGTTCCCCGATACGAAAAAGATGGTTTATTTGACTGTTAAATATAAGCGGCCGTTCTTCAAAAAGAGTGGGAATCAATGCGTTTTTGTGTATATTTTTTTTATTTTTTGGAATTTTTAAATTTTTCCGTTTTTTCAGTACGCAGCCTTATCCAGACAGAAATCCTTCAAATTCTTCTGTTTGTCTAATTCTACCAGATCTTGATCGTTCCAAAAAGGCACAAACAGATCCTGATGTTGATAAACAAGCGAGAGAATGGGAGGAACGTTTACGTGAAAATTATGGACTTATTTCTGGAGTTAATTATACAAAGGTTTCTTTAATCCTTATTTTTGACATAACATTTTTGATTGAAACTCGATTTTAAGAGGTTTTAACTTTAAAAATTTTTTTGATATGTGGGCAGCGAACCTCGTTTAAATGGAAGCGTGCCTAATTCTTAAGTTATTTATAAATCAGATTCGATACTAAAATTCTATCATTTTTCATATTTTTTTTTATTTTTTCAGATTTTGACTTTTATACAATTAACTCGTGAATATACTGAAGTCACGGATCGTGTTAAACTTGCAAATCTTTATGATATGTTTTTTGTGGATTATAAATTGGCTAAAAAAGTGGATTATTTTATGGGAAAATTGTTTAAAAGACCTGCACGGTAAATTTTAAAATTTTTATTTTGGACAAAGATACCTTCCATTTAACCAAAAAATTTTCTAGAATTTATTTTACGGCTTAAAATAATTTTTTTTAATTTTTTAGTCGTCCAATTCTAATCAAATCTGAACAAAATTTTTCTAAAAGAATTGAAGAAGCTTATAATCAAACTTTAATATTTTTTATGCCAATGAATGATGCAATTACTATTCGGTTTGGGATTTTTTTAATTTTTAATGTTCTTTGAAATTTTTTTGAGATTTTTTAAGAAATTTTTTTTTTAAAATTGGAAAAATTTTTTTGGAAGTTTTCTAAACAATTTTTCAATTTTTTTAAATTTCTTTTACTTTTCTTTCTTCAAAAAAATTTTTTAAAATTAATAAAATTTTTCAGTGTTGGCAATTTAAATCAAAAAATTAAACATCTCAAATCAAATGTTTCAGCTATTATTTCTTCACTTTTACAAGACTTTCCTGGTGGTCTAATAAATATAAGATCGGTTTATTTAGCGGCTGTGAATGTTTCTTTGCCTGTTTATGTTGATTTTGGTTTAATTTTTTTTAATTTTTTGGATAGAAATTTTTTCAAAAAAATTCTTTTTTAGGTTCTTCTAACGAAATAAACTTTGAATTGCCTCCAGAGCCCGAACTTGTTGAAATTGTTGGAGAATGTTCTACACTTCCAGAAGGATTAGAAGTTAAAGTAAGGGCTGATGGATTGGTTACAACAGTGGAAAAGAAGAGTATTTTTTTATAATTTTAAAGAAAAGGGTCCAAAAAAATTTTTTTTGAAGGTGGTGAAGAAGTTTTGTATCCAACAGAACAGGATGAATGGGAAAAGGAAGATGATATGAAGCCGTTAAATGCTGAATTGATTCAGAAAATATTGAGAAAAGGAAAGGTTCAAACAAAAATGGAAAAAATAAAGGAAGAATTGAGAAAGATGGTAAAAGGGGAAGTAAAGGAAGAGGAGGAAGAAAAAAGAGTAGAAGAAGTGAAGGGGGTGGTTGAAGAAGAAAATGAGGTGGTTGAAGAAGGAGCCCCAAACATGTTACCAAACAAAAAGAAGAATAAAAAAAGGAAAGTAAAGAATGAAGAAGAGGAAGAAAAAATAGAAGAAGAGAAGGAGGAGGGTGAAGAAGTGGAAGAAGAACCCAAAAAAGAAGAAGTTGTTCCAAACAAGGCTCCAAAAAAATTAAAGAATAAAAAAAGAAAATTAAAGGAAGAGGAAGAAGAGGTGGAGGAGGAAGAAAAAAGAGAAGATGAAGAGGAAAATGAGGAGAGTGAAGAGGAAACCGAAGAAGAAGTTGTTCTGAACAAGTCACCGACCAAAAATAAGAATAAGAAAAGAAATGGAGCAATTAAAAGAAAAATTGAAAATTCAAGTATTGAGATGATTAAAGGAAGGAAAACTAAAAAAGCCAAAAAAAATTTTGAAGGATTTTTATAAAAGCAAAATGTTTCAGGTTTTTTAAATTGTTATTTATTGTTAGATAAATTTTAATTAAGAAAATTTTCTAACTGAGAATTCTTGTTAGGTTAAGGGGAAATGGTCCGGGTCATAGAAAAAGGTCACAAAAGGTTTGTGAGGAGGGGTAAATGTAACGGAAGAGAACGAGATTTTTTTTAGGTTTATTTTTGATTTTAGTGAATAAGATTTTTATAATGAAAGGTTATGAGTTTTAATGGAAGGGTTAATCATTGTTTAATGTTAGGGGTTAAAAAATTTTTTTGAAAAAAATTTCACTATGATTTGAAATTTTTTTTTTGAGTTTTGTGAAAATTGAGTGATATTGTAGAAAAATTTTTAATAGCAGAAAATTTATTATTTTTAATTTATTTTTTCTCCCTAATATTTTTTTGGTTCCCCAAAATTTTTCACCCCCAAAAAAATTTTTTTCGAATTCCAATCCTTTACTAATTTTAACTTTTTTTATTTTTCAAAACAAAAACACATGACGTTCGGGTCTTTTTTTGAAGAAAAAAAAAGTTTAATGGTTCTTAAAAATTATTTTATTATTATTATTTTGGGGAGTTCACGTAATAACAACTGTTGACATTTTTCAAAAAAAAAGTGGGGAGAGGAGACACGCACAACCACCTTTTTAACCAATTTTTATTGTTTTGTCTTTTTCTCTTTTTTTGAAAAAAAAAATTTTTTTGGGCAAATGATAAATAAAATAATAAATTTTCTGCTAATTTATTTGTGTGTTAAGGAGATGGTGTGTGTTAAAAATTTTTGGTTTAAAATTTTTTAGTGAGGTTTAGGTTAGGTGTTTTTAATGTTTTTTGTGTTGAAGCTGTGGGGCTGATAAATTACTAGTGAAGTTTTAAGGACTAAATTTTAATTTGTGGGAGAGTTTAAAAAATTAAGCAAAAATAAAAAGGGGCTTTTTTATTTGTTTTCTTTACCCATTCTTTCCAACAAAAAATTTTTTTTTGATTAAAAAAATTTCAAAAAAATTTTTTTGAATTTTTTAATCAAATTTTTTTTAATAAAAAAATTTCAAAAAAATTTTTTTGAATTTTTTTTAATCAAAAACTTATTCCAATATTTTCAAGTATAAAATGAATTTTAGAAGAAAAAAATTTTTTGAAAGAAAAAAATAGAGGGTAGGTGAGGGACCTTTCCCTACACTCTTTACCTTTGTAAATAATCACCTCTTTTTGTTTTTGTTTGTTGATTGACGCTCATGGAAGGAGAAAAAAAAAGTTTTTGAGAGGATGTGTAATTGTAGGGGGAGATTCAAGTAATTTTGCGTAGGCTAAATGAAAAAATAAAAAAGAATTTGAAGAAAAAAATAAATAAAAGTGCTTTTTTTTACTCTTTTTTGAATGATTATCTTTAGGAGAAATTCTTTTTTATTTTTACGTGGTGTGTGTGTTCACCCCAAAAAATGATATGACAATTGTCGCCATTTGGAAGCTTTTTTTTAGTAGGAATAGGAAAGAAGAAGACGTCTTTTTATTTTGTAAATTAATAGGAAGAGGAAAGGGGGTCTAGGTCGTTTTTATAAAGGTGAATGAGACGAGTGATTGGGAGGGGAGGATTGGGGCGATAACGAGTTGATTGTTGTTGTGTATGTTTGGACGTTGGGGTTTTAGGAGTGAAAGGAGGAGGCTTCTTCTTCCCTAGAGGAAGGGAGGGCTTTTTCCTTTCCAAAATCATGGAAGAGAGAGAGGAAAAAGCGCCGAATTGACCCTACTTTTGGGCTGAAAAGAAGAAATGAATGAATGATTAAGGACCTAGAAATATGACATCCGGAGAGGAGAATAGGAAGAGGGGGTTAGGAGGTAGGGGAGGAAGAGGATCATGGAAAGGTTAGTAGGTTTTTTTGGGGACATGCCTGTTCTAAGAATATTTTTCTTGGGAGCATTTGGTGTGCTATTAATAGTGAGGAAAAATTAGCTGAAAATTAGATCTAGAAAAGCAAAAAAAGAAAAAAGAGGAGTGTAAAAAGTGAAAGGTTGGAAGAAGGAAGGTGAATTGAGATGCGACAAATCACTATTTTTTGCCTAGACGTCCAAGAGGGCGGAAAATCGGAAGGGAGAGAAGAAAAATGAAGAGAAAGAAGTGGTTGTGTTGATGAATGAATGAAAAAATGTTTGATATATAAGAAAGTATAAAATAGTAAAATAGTAGAAAGGTGACGGAAGAAGTTTGAAAAAAAAAAGAAGAAAAAGATGTTTGTCGTCCAAACTCGCTAATATTTATTAAATAGCAAACACAAAAAATGAATGAAAAATAAAAGGAAAAAAAAATATAAATTTATGTGGGTTGGAGGTAAAAAATGCAAAGGTGGTAGGGTTTATTAGAAAAGAGACTTGGGGGGTTAAGTACGTGGAAAAAAATAGAAAAAAATTTTTTGCTTGGGACCTTAACGGACAAACGAGAAGAAGAAAAAGACGAAGAAAGGGACGAAAAATGGGCGGTGATAGGTGAAGAAGCAGGTGAATGAATGTTGATTGTGGAGAGAGAGTTGAGAGGTAAATAGGAGGTGATTGCAATACTACTAATCATTAGTTAGGTAAAATTAGGAGGGGTTGGAAGAAGAAAGGTTCACTTGGGTAGGAAAGAAGGTTCACTTGGAGGGAAGGGAAGGTTCACACCACATTTACACACACACACACACTTTTCAAAAACAATTTTCACAAATTTTTTCACAAAAATTTTTTGTCATTTTTTTATTTTTATTTATTGGCCATAAGCGGAGCGAACTAATTGTAAAAAAGGGGACAATAAACGGGAAAAGTAAAAGGGGGAGAAAATTTTTTTTTGAAAAATAAAATAAAATTGAAAGAAAATAGGGAGGCGTCGCAAGTTATTTTTTGTTGTGTGTTGTTCGCACATTTGTATGTTTTAATGTTTTTTTTTATTTTTGTTGTTGTTGAGCTATTGTGTAAGCCAAGTAAAGGTCATGATTTTTGTTTTATTTTTTTATTTTTTTATTTTTTTTGTATAGAAAATGTGTAAAGGGGGAAATAAGGGGAAAAATAAAGGCTTTCTTATGGACAATAATAATATTTTATTCAAGAAAAAAATTTTTTTAAACGTCCAATAAGGAGGAGGAAAGTGGGGGGAAGAAGCATACCTTACCTCCTTTTTGGGCTAAAAAAGGTGTTGCTATTTTTATTATTTTTCTTGGAAAATTTTTCTTGTCTTTTAAATGTTAGGGACAATAATATTTATTTTAAACAAGAAAAAAATTTTTTTAAACGTCCAATAAGGAGGGGAAAATTGGTGGAGAATCACCTTACCTCCTTATTTTTCTAGAACAAAAATTTGTTTGACTTGAAGGTTTTCTTAGGGACAATAACAAATATTTAATAATAAAAATATTTTTTTAATGGAAAAAAATTTTTTTAAACGTCCAATAAGGAGGGAGGGGAATAGAAATGTAGGTGGAAAAGCATATCATTTTTGATCTAAAAAAAGGGGGGGTGCTTTTTCTAGAACAATTTTTAATGTTAAAAATATTTTTTCTTAAGAAGAGAAAATATCACTTATTTTTACCTTTTTTTTATTTTTTTCTCGTCTCATCTCTCAGAATTTTTACAATTTTTCTAATCATTTTTGTTTGTGTGTGTTGATTCATTTTATATATTTTTTTGAAAGAATGTCAAATACATTTTACAAAAATATTTGTTTTTGAGTATGTGTTTTAGTCTTGTAAAAAATTTTTTTTTATTTTATTTTTGGTGCTTTCTTGAATTTTTTAAAAGTTAAAAAAACTTTTTTTGAAATTTTTTAGAATTTTTCAAAATTTTTTTTTGAAATTTAAAAAAAAAAAATTTTTATGGAAATTTTTCTAAATTTAATTTTTATATTTTTTAAGGTGTGTGTTTGTGATTTTTAGTCTTTAATTTAAAAGACAATTTTTTGTTCTTATCAATACACATTTTTATTTTTTTTGGAATTTTTTTTATTTTATTATTTATTTTTCTAATCATTTTATTTTTTTAAAATTCTTTAAAAAATTATTTTGAAAATTTTTTAATTTTTTTTTGATTAGAAAATTTTCTATAGCACATAAATATTTATTATAAAAATTATGGGACACGAAAGGATTCGAACCCGACACCTCCTTCCATCCAAAACATAACACACTTGCACTTAACCACAAATATTATTTTTTGATTTTGTTGTCCAAAAAATTTTTTGATGAAAAAATATGACTGACAACAATATTTCTTCATCACGAGAACAACAAGAAAAAAATTCTTCAATTTTTATTTTTTCTCCCCAACCTTCTCAAACAACAACAACTCAACAAACAACAAATTTATTAGCCCAACGTTTATCTCCTTTATTATGTGCTTTATTAAAAAGTTTTCATGCAATTCCTGTTAGATTAAAAGTTGTTTTGAATTTTTAAATTAATTATTTTTTTAAATTTTAGATATTATTAGATAAAGTGTTTGAACATTTGTCTTCACAAGAAATTGAAATTTTACTGTTAAATTGTGGATGGACTCTGGAGGATTATCAAAGAGGCTATTTGGTTTTTTTTTGAATTTTTAAAAATTTTTTGGTTGATTAAAATGTTCAATTTACTGTTTGGAAGCTTTTATAGCATTTAATTAGTGTTAGAAAAATTGTGGGACACAAAAGGGTTCGAACCCGACACCACTTTCCCTTCAAAACTTAGCACACTTGCACTTAACCAAAAATATGGTTTTTTGTCAAAAAATTTTCAATATTCATTAGAAAGCTTAACTACTTGAAAAAAAAATTTAGGGACTCAAAAGGGTTCGAACCCGACCCCACCTTGCCTTCAAAACATAACACACTTGCACTTAACCAAAAATAATGTTTTTTTTTTGAAAAATTTTTTTTGAAAATTTTTGTCCCTTTAAATTTGTTTATAAAAGTTAAAAAAATTTCTTTTAAGAATTATTCAACTGGTTTATGGCAATGTGTCCCTCTTCATTTAGAACTTCAATTGCTTCAATCAGCATCTCTTCTTTTGTCACCAGAATTTACTTCTTTAATTGCACAATTAAGGCAATGTGCTTTACACAGTCTTTTGGCTTTAGTTGTGTCTGCTGGAGGAAACAATCTTAATAATAATGGAGGAGGTTTAATTAAATTATTTTTAAATAGAAAAATGAGAGAAGTTGGGGGATTTTTAATAATAGGGGGTTTCCACGGGGCTCACGCCTGCCTCTAGGGTCACTTGACCACTAGGGAATTGCTCTCTCGTGTGATCGCTTACCAGGAATATGGCAGAGATGGACCCTCTAGAAAAATCAGGGAAATTGGGGATTTTTTGTAATTTGGGGGTTTTACAAGGGGGTCCACCATGCCTGGTCCAATAGGGAGTTGACCTCTAGAGTGATCTCTTTCTAGGGGAATATGGCTTTTTTAAATCAGGGCTGGGCTCTCCTTCCTTATTTTTAAAAAGGGATACGGACAACGGAAGAAGTTTTCAACATCCATTTTTAAGTTTCAACATCCAATGAAGCAACTAATGGCCCTGTAGTAGAGCAACAACATTTTCAGAATGATCAAAATTGTAATGACATGATAAATTCAACAGCGGCAACAGAACAAAAGGAAGACGAAGATAAGGAGGAAGAAAGGGAAAAGAAATTTTCTCAAGAAAGTTTGAATGTAATTATTGAGGTTTTTTAAAGTTTTTTTTGGATTTTTTTAAAATTAAAAAAAATTTTTTTGTCCGCAAATTTTGTTCGCAAAAATTTTGTCCGCAATTTTTTTGGATATTTTTTAAGTATACGTCCAGATGCACCATGAGGCCAATTTACCTTCGAGCTATAACACTTCGTTTAAGATTCTTGAATCCGGAACGCCTTGCAGGCCCGTAACTAGGATTTTTTTTCGAGGGGGGGAAATTTGCTTGCGCCAAATTTTTGGCGCCGAAGGCGCCAAAAATTTTTATTTTCAGCGCCGCAGGCGAAAATTTTTTTAATTTTAGAAGGCCGTAGGCCAAAAAAATTCACTTTTTCGGCGCCGCAGGCGCCAAAAATTTGATTTTCAGCGCCGCAGGCGAAAATTTTTTGAATTTTGGACCTCAAGAAGCCAGATTTCGTCCTTTTTTAGCGCCGCAGGCGAAAATTTTGAAAATTTCGAAGGCCGTAGGCCAAAAAAATTCACTTTTTTGCCCCAGCCCTTCCCCAAATTTTTTCCTTTTTCCCATTTCGGGGGGGGGGGGGAATTCCCCCCCTCACCCCCCCCCTGGTTACGGGCCTGACGCCTTGGTATGGTTTGTTGCGCCTTGAGGAGCTGATTTGAGTCATACCAAGGCGTCCCGGAGTCGACAATTATGAACGAAGTTATAGCTCGGTGGTAAATTGGCCTGCTCTTTTCTTAAAATTTTATTCAAAAAATTTTTTTAATTTAAGAAAATGACTGATTCAGAAGAAACAAAACCTTCATTTGAAGAGGATGAGGAAGACGGGAAAAATATTGAAGAAGAAATTGTGGAAGAGGAAGAAGAAAAATATGATCATCAAAATTTGCTAAATTTCCACCGTCGATCATCTTCATTGTCTACAGGGACAACTACAAGTAATAATAGTAGTTTAAATGGTGGAGAAATTGTTTTGAAGGAAGGGGGAATTGGTGGTGGAGGAGGAAAGAGACGAGTTCAATGCCCTATTTGCTTAAAGGTTTTTTTTAAAAATTTTTAAAAATTTTTGAAATTTTTTTTTGAAAAATCTTGAAATTTTTTTGAA